GAAAGACTTGGCTGACTACAAGAGCAAAGATGAAGCCCAAGATAAGATTGTGATCTCATGTCACATGAATTCATTTAACTTCCTCAAGTGCAATGGTAATATTTTTGTGAGTAGTTAAGTATATCAGGAATATTATAAAGATAGGCTTATTTAGTCTTGAGAGTAGCCACGACTCAAATCTTGTGGGGCTTCTTTCCAAATCAAGCTCGGTGGTTTAAGCTATATCTGGAAAAATTCTGTGCAGCAAGTAGTGAAGTCAGCAGAGCCAAGGTATATAATAAGCATTATACAAGTAGTTTCAGCAACAGGGGAGAAGATTGCATTCCACAAGGTCCTCAGTTCTTGCAGGGGAAAAAGACCTTTAAAGTAAGATCATTACAAGGAAGTAAAAGAAGAAATGCTGTGCAAATAATGTTCCTAAATATGTTTTATTTTTAGGTGTGTAGGCTTTTTTCTTAAAAACCCCAAAATTTCAAATAGAAATTATGTTGTCTTGCCTGGGCTGCAGAAGAACTCGTGCATGGAATGCATTAGGTGATGTGGAGGGTGCTCTGTGCCTTGGATTAATGCTTGTTACATGCAAAATTGTAATGGTATGTTTACAAAAACCACACCTCCAGTATAGTGAGAAATACAAATGTATTCTGATTTTAGAAGAAAAAAAGTTTCTGCAAATAGTATTATGGGATATGTTACTGCAAAGTTTTGCATTCATTATTTTGATAAGTAAAGATTGCACCTCCACTTCAGCTATTTGAGGTGAAAATTATAACTGCTGTTAATTCTCGTGCTTCTGGGTGTATGCTGAGTGCTTCAGAAGGGTAAATTCCCCGTTACAGTATAATATGGTAAAATATTAGAGTCAGTTGCTTTACGCTTGGATTTTACACCCTATTACTGCTGTGAATTATCTATCATTAACCCTTATTAAAGACAGATTTGCTTAGATGGACAATTGTCTATTGCAATTTGATTGCAAATATATTGTTAGGTTTTCAAATGAATATTTAAAGTGGATCATTCCATGATTTTTCTACAAATTCTCTTTTTATCTCCTCCTTCCTCTCCCTCTATCTTTTAAGGAGCTTCCACTCAGAATTCCAACGCAGTGGAACCGGAAAAACAAGTGGACAGCACGGTGAAAATGGCTGGAGTTATAGCTGGTCTACTGATGTTTGTTATTATCCTCTTGGGAGCAATGCTTACCATCAAGAGAAGGTAAGTTTCTGCTTTGCTTCCATCTTGGACCTTCTGGCTGGGGTGTTGTTACTTCAAAAAGAATAAATGTGGTGGAGAGAAAACATTCCATTTGTCTTACAGAGGGCAGCAGTTAATACTTGTTTACCAAACGCTACCACTAAGAACTTGTAGACCCAGAAGAGGTGCCTGTTCTGGTAGATATTATATGAGCAACAAAAGAGTGATTGTTACTGCAAAGAGTTAATGATAATGATAATTAATGAGAAGGGATTGCTCATGAAAAGGCATGGAAAATGTCCTGGTTTTTTGGTTAAACTATCACAGAGAAGTACAAAATGATAATGAGGCAGCGGAAGTGGACGTGTGAGCCTATGCAGGTAGCACAGCAATGGTCAAACTCATATTCCCAGTCTACCACATCTTTCAAAATGTAAATGTGGGACTCTTGCTGTTAAACAGTGTGATTGCTTCCAATCTGCTTTTTGTATAAATTTGAAAACAGGTAGGAAAATTCTCAGAGTTAGAATTATGGGCAAGTAATAATTTTTCCTCCAAACACACTGTGAAGTTGTTGTCATTCTCATTCTGATGAATGCATTGATGTGGAGATGTCTGGATACGTATCAATGATTCAACATTCTAGCTTGATCTTCTGTCTTTCAATGCAAACTGGAAAACCAGCAAAAGGCCAGGATATCAACATGTAGGAATCCTTCAAAGAAAAAGGAAAACTTTATGGCTGAGGTAGATTATCAGGTTTTTTGCCTTTTTTTTTTTAATGGACTCTCATATTTTATGCGTAATATAACAAACTTTTATTAGAGATCAGAAGGAAACTTAGAGACTGTATTATATAGTTTAGTTAGCAGGTATAGAAAATAATTGGATTTTAGCTTTATTTATTTTTTTTCTGATGCATTTTTAACCAGAGTTAAATACAAATGATGGGGAGGTCTGTCAAGATCCAGCTTTTTCCAATATTGGTTTCTTAGGATGTTTTGACTGTCATGACTAATGCAGTATAAGTTGATATCTCATAGAGAGAAAAACACAGACAAATGCAGAATGAAAAATAATCATAATGCAGAGCAAGTTCTGGGGGCTGGAGTCTGAGGAAGCATTTGCTTGATATAAAAATTCTCTAATTAGTGCTGACCTGAACTGCCCTCCTAACAGTGCATGTGTTCCTCTGTGGAACTAGCCTGGTCCCCAAACCACCAATGTTTAGTGAATGTAGGTGTGATGTCCCTCCCTGGAAGTGTTCAAGGCCAGGCTGGATGAGGCTTTGAGCAACGTGGTCTAGTGGAAGGTGTCCCTGCTGATGGCAGGGGGGTTGGAACTGGATGATCTTTAAGGTCCCTTCCAATCCTAACCATTCTATGATTCTATGTCCCATGGACAGAACTTTGCTCTATCTGGTTTTGCCATAGTCTCTGTTAACCTGGACATCTTTCTTTAAAATTAAAATTAGAAAGGAGGTGAGTGGGAATATAAGAAATATAAATTCTGCCCTTTTTCTTTCTAGTGCTGGAAAATTACATTTTCCTCTGTGTCATTCCTCGCCCCCGAGCAAACAGGCAAAATCACTGCAGTCTGGATCTCTCTTTGCCTGTTTGCTGTTGTTTGCAAGGTTACCCACTGGAATACACATTATTATAAGAAATGAACTGGCTCATCGACTTTAAAATCTTTTCCTATTAAGAAGTTCTAACAGTGCAGATAGAGGTTTTGGAGGCTCACTCTCCAGGTCTGCGCAGCACACCTCCGGCATAGCCAACAAACCTGCTGATGGCATCATGTCTGCGTCTCCCTGGAATGGGCACCACAGTCATGGCCAGTTGAGGCTTGGAGCTGCATGTGGACAAGTGTTCACTGAAGATGAACTGAAGCCTGCCAGGATTGTTTAATTTGTAAATTAATGCAGATTGGGACCAGCTTTTATGAAAGGAAAGGCCTCTTTGGACCACAGATTGGTTTGAACTTGTGGAGGAGCACAGCTGAAAACTCACACTTGTTGGAGACAGCAGTTTAACAGCAAAGTTCTCTTCTACAAACAGAAACGTTAGGAGCTTAAGCTCTTGCATTCATTTTTTGCATTAACCTTACTTTAAAAAGTTTCCCTTTTCAGTTCACTAAAGCTAATGCCTCTGTAGAAGACAAGGTAGTCTTGCAAGGCAACAATGCAGAAAAATAATTTAATTAGACAAACCTGAGGCATTTTCTTCAAATGGAGCTGGAAAATATCACAGTGACATTTGGTCATGGTCCAGGGCATCATAGTTCATTGGTAATAGGCACAGTAGTGGATTTCCTGAATGAAGCATTTTGTTAAGAGGTGCAAAGAGCAAATCATAGAATCATAGACTGGTTTGGGTTGGAAAGGACCTTAAAGATCATCCAGTTCCAACCCCCCTGCTGTGGACAGGGTTGCCAACCACCAGATCAGGCTGCCCAGTGCCCCATCCAACCTGGCCTTGAATACCTCCAGGGATGGGGCATCCACAACTGTTCTGGGCAGCCTGGGCCAGTGTCTCAACACCCTCTGGGTGAAAATTATCCTCCTAATATCTAACCTACATTTGCCCTCTCTTAGTTTTAAACCATTTCCCCTTGTCCTGTCACTGCCCATATCAAAAGTCCCTTTCCCTGCTGTTTATAAGCTCCCTTCAGGTACTGGAAGGATGCAATGGGGTCTCCCTGGACCCTTCTCTTCTCCAAGCTGAACAAGCCCAGCTCCCTCAACCTTTCTTCATCAGAGAGGTGCTTCAGCTCTCTGATAATCTTTGTGGCTCTCCTCTGGACCCGCTCCAACAGCTCTACATCTTTCTTGTGTTGGGGGCTCCAGGCCTGGACACAATGCTCCAGATGGGACCTCACAAGGGCCGAATAGGAAGGAGAGATATTAGAAGAGAAGGAAGCACTGAAAGAAAACAGACCTTGGTCTGAGATTAGGATCAGACAGAACATCAGAAGCTATTTTTTGTTTCTGAGAACACACCAAAACAGCACACGGGTTTTTTTACCTTTCATAGGCAAGGTGTTACCCCATTGCTCTTAGTTTCAATAGATCATATTGCAAAAACTGTAGCAACTGGCAAATTTTTGGGGACTGCCAATGTTTTATAGGGTTTAATCAGATATGTGAAGCCAAATTAAACCAGGCAGAATGTTTATGCAGTGGAAAATTTGGGTTTGGTTTTGCGTTTGTTATCTAAAACATTTTAGTTGAACCCTGGGGTTGCCTAAGGTCTACTGAAGTTTCTGTATGTGTATATCTATGGAAAAAATATGTTTGTGTATGTATAAATTTCTGTTCTGAACCTGTCCTACATGAGCTAAAATCAAACCATTTAAAAAAATGTTTTCTTGGTCTTGGGAACTGATGAGCTACATGAGTTACATGTTTGCAGCTCTGACATCATCATATGTGTATGAATGCACAAATTACTGCTACATAATTAACCTGTTAATTGACAGTTGGTGATCAGTGTCCACTTGAGTGTATCTGCCCACATAAGGCAGTACCACTTTCTTTCATTAATAGATACGTACCTTGAAATACGGTATTTTTATTATATCTAAACATTTCTAATTCTCTAAAGAGCTTATTTGTCCTTAATATTAGTTAGCTATTTTGAGTAATAGAGAATACAGGGTTAGTAAAAACAAGATGAAACAAGAAAAACAAGACATTTGTAAACTTCTTTTCTGGAGAGAATGCCCTTTGACTTTGACCCCCAAAAGAATTAGATTTTGGTCAGTTCTGATTTCATCTAGACAGTTTTATCTCTGGTGTAATCGTGACTTGCATTTCCCTGGAGTGAAGAATGTGACACTTTTCAGGCTTGTGCGTTTGAGTGGACAAAGCCTCTACTGACCCCTTTAAGTATAAGACTGAATAAATAGGATCAGACAGGCTGTCAGGGGTACACTGTAAATGGGTTCTTTAAACTGCTGTTGGTAGCAAAAAAGGAGATTTGGGGCTATGTAGGGTCTAGGATTAGTTCCTTCTATGAAAATTCAGCTCCTCATTCTGGATTAGGATTTAGGTTGTTACCTTAAACTAATTAAATAAAAACCAAAAGCCTCTTGAGCAGAACATGCTCAGGCTATAGGACAGAGTTATCATAGGGATATTTACACATTTAGTGACCTGTGTCCCTTCTCTTTCCATAATTAAGGTGGATGACAGGCAGGGTTTACAGCTTGTGTGATACATCCTGGGATCGGGTCATGTTTTTAGTGACCGGTAACTCTGACCAATTTTAACTGTTAGTTTTGAAATATTCCTTAGGAATTCCTTATTTTAAGTTACATATTTTTGGAGAACTTGAGCCAAAATGGTCTTTCCAATTCCAAAATATTACCCTGCTTTTCTTTTTCTTCTTTTATTTTCTGTCCTTATGGAATAATTTTTTCTGAGCTTTCCTCTGTAGCCTTGAGGGATACGCAGCTTTTTAATGAGAACTAAGAGTCTCGTGTGATCACATATGTCCGCTGACTGAGACATGAGAAAAGCAGAAAGTACAGCAAAATGTTCAACAGAACAATTAGTTGATAGTGTCGTATGAAGCCTGTCACTGGTGTATCAGAGGGGTTTAATTAACGGAATAATTTTGGGGATGCAGAGGGATCAGCTGCGTGGACTCTCATTTTCCAGATCGTGGTGATTTTTCCCTTTGTTTTAGATATTCAGAAGAGCTCAGAATTTCCCAGTGAAGCTCAGTGACAATCACTGCACCTTAACTGGTGCATTGCTGTGGCATGTAGAATCTCTGAGTTTCAGAAGGTTATAGCATTAAGTTAAAAATATATTTAGGTGTACCTTGAAATTGGTGTCATTCAAATAACTTGGCATATATGGGGAATCTGGCCAGAATTTCAGGTTTATAGCAAGGGCTACCTCCAGATAAAGCATGTCACTTCAGAGTAATCCTCTTGACCATCTGTAAGGCACTGTCCTTTACCCAGTGTGTGCATACCCAGTCGTGCACAGACAGTAATTGTGCTGAATCTGCTTTCCATGTGTGCTTACGAAAGTTGTGTTCAGAGCAACCATAAAAATGAACGCTTGAAGCCTGTGTTGGTACTTGAAAGCACCTCCTAGGATTTGTAGTGTCTTCAAGGGTGGGATTTTAAAGTTGTGCAATATGTTGAAGTTTGTGTTTCATTGTTTTTCCCTGTCTTGACCATGTCTCCTGCTTCCGAGGCTCCTTTGTGCCTTGCTGTTAATCTGTACTAAAGTGTGCTAGATCTGCTGTGAAACAGCCTTTTCAGAGAAGCCCTTTCCCAATTCTACAAGGGAAGACATCACCTCTTAAGTTATAACTGATTGCCAAGGCTGTTTTGTGGTGCTGCTCAAAAACCTATCAAAATGTTCTGAAGTGTATTGTTTAGAGCGGTAATAGAAAACGCTTAATCACAGTGACGCAGGAAGCTCACACATACCCCCAGTGATCACCTATAAATATGTAGCGATGCTTGAATTGTTAATGAACTATTTGCATATTAGAATTTGATGAAGCTTGATTTATCATTACACAATTTTCTCATTGTCTAAATATTCCAAAATTGTCCTGTTCTTACATTGTCACTTTCCGATTTATTATTATTTATATTAGCTCTTACATATTTCTTTCCATTCCAAAAATCTCAAAGTACTTTGCAGGCAAAGGTAAGTCTCATTACCCGTGTTATTGACATGGCAAAGTTAAGGAAGAAAGAGGTGAGGGGATGTATTAATGGTAACACAAGTCATCAGCAATACTGAACTGTCTCCAGTTCAGTATCCACCCCTCACCGACATATAGCTCCTGAAAAAAGTGTAGGAGAGAAGTAGCTTGGTACAAGAGGCAGCACAAATATTCTGTAAATTGAAAAAGATCCTAGAGTTCATATAAATCTAATTATGTGTTTTTCTCTTTTTCTCCTTTTGGATATTTTGTTCATCTGACTGGCCGTCCACATTTAGAAGAAATGCATATTCCTACTCCTATTACTTGTAAGTACTTAGTTGGGGATGATGTTTCTACAGCATGTTCACCCTGTAGTAATTTTGTGCTTTGTTGTATTAATTTCTTTTACCACTTTTTTTTTTTACCATTCCATTTATCCTTGTCATTCCAGCAGCTTGTGTTTTATTTTCTCACTTTCACACTGTTAATGCTTTCTGTGTTTCACCACTGCACCCATAACTGTTCCTGCAAACACATAAATGTCCACAGATAGGTCAGTTATGGTTTATAGTTCTTCAAATGCTAATGGGACAGATACAGAGTGTCCCAACTGCACTTTTAAAATTGTCCATCATATTTAGCCAGACTGCAGAGAAATTCACACCCAAAAGTTATTGGGAATTTCTCAGCCATGAATATATGTTATTGAAAAATGTAAGGTTTCTGATAACTAGGACTGGATGTTATCTCAGCAAACATCCCTGTTCCTGGAGCTGCCAGGTTCCAAGTGTCAGTTCAGACCATTGGTTGGTGAAGTGGTTCAGAAATTCAGATCTAAATCACCTGTCCAGTCCTAATGACAAAGCTGCATAATTAAGGCAGTTGTTAAGACACGTGAAAATGCTTCACACATCAGTAGCTTCAGAGCCATCTGTTGTCTAAAGGTTGAGGGGCTGGAAAGTAATCAGGGCCAAGCTGTTTCTGCCACGATAATAGTTGTCTGAGGATTAGGAGGAGGAGAGGATCAATGATCTGAGGAAGGAGTTCTGGAGAATTGAGTTGGATGCCTTTGCTGCCACCAGAGGGTTGGGAGGATGGAGAAGCCAAATGTTACTGCTAAGAGAAACAGATCTCCATTCTCCATGTCTCAGAAGCAGCAGTCTTATCACTGACCTAAAAGCAGTGACCTGCCAGATTTTCCAGGGCTCTGGCATAAATTAACTTGTCAAAAGGGCTGTGACTGCTCTGCTAGCCCCTCCGAGTCTGCCACCCCTGGAAACCTGCTTTGCCTGTTCGTACAGTTCGTCTTTGCCTTGATCTGATGACTTTGACCTGTGGACTCATCTGCAAGGTTTTTGGCAGGTCAGCCAAATGAGTGCACTAATATTCTGGTCTTTTAGTGGAAGTTGACTTCCTTACCATATGAGTTGATTTACACCCAAAGAACAGGGCAAAAGGGTTAATTGTGAAGATCCCTGTGTACCACCCATTGGAGTGATTTTGCTTCTCGATTACCTATCAGAAAATAATTGAAAGAAGAACCTTCTCCACTTGCTAAGTATGTGAGGAGCCTAAAGACACTGTAATGAGCTTTGACTTTGCCAGGTTACATAATTGTAAATGCAGAGTAACTCCATTTCCTCTAGCCTTCACCTTGATTCACCAAGAATGGAATTTGACCTTAAGTATTCAGATTTCAAGAGAAGCTTAACTAACTGTTAAAGTAGAGGATGGATTTAATGTGTAGGTGCTACTAATGAGTTGTATTTCTTGCTACAGCCTTTCCTCTTCTGCATATTTCTCATGAATGTCAGAATAATGCCCCCTGCGCTGTTCTACTGTTTTTGTTTCCTTACGACCCATCAGCACCATTGCCTGAAAAACTCAGTCCCCGGTTTTCCATTATAATTTTGTCTTCTTCCAGCAGGCAGAACGTGGTCAGAATGTTCCCTTCTTTTATTTTATTTTGAGATTTGTGTCTTTAAAAACATTTAATCAACTTCTGAGCCCTTTTTGACCCCATTTTGCAAATGCACAACAACAATGCTTTAAGCAGTTGGCTGAAGAACTTTTTTTCTCAGGGAATAGGAGAGTGACTCAGGAAAAGTGAAGAGACAAACCTCTGTAAGACACCCAAGCTGGAGGTTGCAATGAACTTCAGCAGTAGCAGAAGCAAGTGCTTTAATAAGATGTAATAAGGCAGATGTGCACCATGCAGCACATCACGGTAGAGCAAAGCCAGAGGTGTCATCAGGCAAGCTTCAGTGTTCATAGCACCCCACTGAAACACTCAATGGAGATTTGAGCTCAGGATGCAGAAATCATGTGACTATATCTACCTAGTACTGCACCCAACATTTTTTTTGCAACATTTTTGCTCATTCTTATCTCTGTGCTTATGCTGTCCCAGGTACCCCATTAAACATGAGCTCTTCTAGCTGGAGCCATCACTATGGTAGAGGTAACACATAAATAGACATCACACAATAAATACTTCCATCATGAGGCTGTACATGGCAGCATTTGTTTTCAGGTTGACATTTGTCCTGTTCCCTGCTCTGGAAGAACCAAGCTCTTGTTTATTTATTTTTCTTTTCCTCTGAACACAGTCAAGGTATGAGGAAAGTTCCAGTAGTGAGGGAAGAAAGCAGAGCAGGAGAATGAAGATTTTAGTCTAGTTTTTCAAGTTTCACATGAAATAGGATATTTCATTATGATTGCAGACGAAAATCTTAAATTGCGAAGGACTGTGTAATTTTTAGCCAAAGCTGATAGAAATTGCTACAGCCTCTTATGAGCAGAGGTTTGATTTAAGTTTATTTGAAATATTGTGAAAATAAGAGCAGCACTATGTATATGTATATATACATTTAAGAAAAAAAATAGAATTTGTTTCCATGCTATGACCTCATATGAATGTTTTAGTCTTCAAGCAAAATTCAGTTGAATGAGTTACAAGTATTGAGAAGCAGGTTCTCAAATAGATCTGCTGGCAGACCTTTAAATATGACCAAATGGACTACATGACTTCATTTTTAGTTTCAGTTTCTGGACTTCAAAGATGCTCTTCTTAGAGTAATTCTCATCTACTTTCAGATATTTCTTCTCTTCTTCTCAACCCTTTGTTTTTGGCTATACTGGCATTTTAAATTTTTTTTTTAGGGACCAAAATCTCCAACCTTCACTCTTCTAAACAGTTCTTAATGATAAGTCTGTGGAGACATATATCACAAGTAACTGATTTTTGCAGAGATGGGCCATAAGCATTGTGGAAGTCTTTAGACTGGAGTTCTGCCTTCAGCCTGTCTTGTGTTCTGCTGCCATCCAGGACTGTAAAATCTGATCCTGTAAGATGGTTGAGTACCCGCAGCTTTGGTGAAACCAGTCAGAAGTCATTCATAAGAGCAGCTCTTTTAGCTGTTATGTGCGTATTTGTGTGTACTGGGTAAATAGTTGTGGAATTTTTGCATAGCAACACTTCAATAAAAACTTCATACAACATATGGGAAACGATATTATCATGGTTGAAAGAGAAGGCCATGAAGGTCTTTCACACACTTTAGGTGGAAATACAAACTCTGTTCCTAACATGCTAAGTTGTTGTGCAGGCTTGACATCATTTTGTGTACTTCAGTTTCCCCATCATTAAAAGTCAGTTGCTTATGATTTGAGATCCTTGGAGAGAACTTAGTTTTGTGATGGGAAGAAAGGGATGGAGAATTAGGAGCTCCTGTCCTGGTGCACTCATTGCATTGCTGTCACCAGGGTGATGCATGAACCTTTCCAGAGGAGTTACTCTGTATTTACAACAATGCAAGCATTGTCTGAGGTTTGTGTAGGATTGCTAGCTCTGTCACGTGGCATTTATGTTCAGTGCATTGTAAGATACGATGTGCAATGTAAGATCCACCCATCCATGGCTGAAAGTTTGTGGTTTTTTTCCTTGCTGAAGCAGTAAAACACAGACAGCAACTCATCTGGTTTAAAGGAGGTTTTGCACTGAATGACAGACATCTCTTTTACAACAGTTCAAGGCTTTATTATTTCTTCACCAAGAAAAGGAATGGAAGTGTTTTCTGTGCGTAGGTTGGATTGTTTTGTTCTGTTTTGGTTTATTTCTTTCTCCCGGACTTGGTAATGGTTACAGAATGAAATTTAATCAAGAGTGATATCAGACCAGAGAAGTATTTCTGGAAACACATATGTGTATGTGTTACAAGGACTCAGTTTAGCGTTATTTATAAGAAAAGGGCGTTCAGTGGCCAATATGTTGTTTTTCTTTTCCCCTGAAATGGCCAGAGTAGTGAGGACACGATTGCAGTGTAGGAATTCAACTCCTATTTCAACTCCCATCGTAATTTCATACCAATTTTAATTGTGGTGGTGGTTTCAGCCAGGAGTTTCTTTTCATGGGAGAGATTCTGTCAAAGGTATTAAGCTAAATTTATACTTGCATTTTCTGAAATAACTGAGTTCGTGCTGAATTTATTTCCACCATCTGTGGGACATTCGAAAAGAAATAAAACATTGTTTTATTTATAGGCATACCTCTGTATAGTCACATACATACATACATACATATTTCCATATATTTCCATGGATGGTGGGATCTGCCAGCACAGGTCAGCTTGCTAAATCCAGATTATTAGAAGAAATTGGATTTCTCATTAAATGCTGGAAGAACAGAATGTTGAATCAATGGTTATGCCAGTCCAATTAAAATTAAATAAATAAATCCTGAAATGGTGAGATTTTATTTAGGACATATTTGTGTGGTGATTGCAAGCCTAACCTTTGCAGAGGGCAGTGCTTGCGGGCTGTTTATACCAGTATATACTGACACAGCATGACCGCTATATGCATTTGTCTAAATTTTGTTATTCTGCGTAAATGTCCTCCACAAATAGTGATTCATTTGATCAAGTAAAACTTAAGACAGTGCAGCCCTACATTTTTCCAGGCCCTGTGTTTGTAGACACACAGATTCAGAGCATCTTTTGAATTATATCTGTTGGATCACTTTCTTGTGTCAAGTAATGTTTGCTTTGGAAGTCACAGAATCACAGAATGGTAGGGGTTGGAAGGGACCTCTGGAAATCATCTAAAGTCAAAGCGATGTGGCTGGTCCTCACTCTTCACTTGGCCTTTGGTGAATTCCCTTCTGCTCCTGCAATAACCTCTGCTTTGGAGGAGCTTTGGCTTCACCATGGCAGGCAGTCAAAAAATACAATGAAGCTGTGTCTGGTTTTGCCTGTCGGGTGTTTGTGGCTATCAGAAGCCGTGAGCTGCCTGTTTGCTCAGGCCAGAGAACGTTTCTCATTCTGCCGAGGTTATGGTCTGCACAAGGCGGTATGTGATGAGCTGAGGTTTTGAGCAGGACCATGGGAGCCCGGGGAGGAGATATCTCAGCTGTCAGGCTGCACTGCTTTTAGTTCACCTTCTTCTTCCTCTCTGTTTAAAGAAATCTCTAGTGACCGAGATTTCACAGCCCGCCTGCCCGATCCCCTCCAGAGTTGGGCAGTTTCTACTGCATATAGTTTTCCCAAAGTTTAAAATGAACTGCCCTTCCCATAGCTTAGCCCCATTAATTTTTCCCAGCCCCTGTAGACAGGGAGAACATCTTCCCTGGGTGTCTTTTCACATGTTTGAAGGCCTATCAGCACTATTTGATTTTCTTTTCTCTAGATGAAAGATCCATATTTCCTTTGGCCTTTGCTTGTAGGTCATGTTTTCTAGCTTCTTCCACTTTTGTACGTGTCCCTTTGGCACACATCTTATTTGAAGTGCAGTGTTGCAGCAGAGGCCTTGCCCATCCTCAGTCAGAGCAAAAGGATTATCTGTGTCTTGCAGACCACAGTGCCATGTATAATCCCTCCCTCGTTTTGGAACCAGCATGAAACTGTTCTTTCAAATTGAGTTTGTGATCTACTACAGGTTTAGGGGACAAAGATCTTTTTCAATAGATCTGCTCTTTAACCAGTGCTCTCAGTTGGGTGTTTGCATGGCTGATTGCTGCCTGCCTTAATTTTGTGCAGCTTTCATCGCAAAAAATATGTGTACTCTGAGCAGGCTGCTGCACACAAATATCTAAAAGGAATTGTATTTTGTAGCTTCCTTAAATTGCTTATTGAAAATGAGGGCAATATGCAATTCTTGACTGTAGGAGGAAATTTCATGTTTAAGTTACGTGATCTATACCTAATGTCTAAATTACCTGTGCATGCAAATCTACGTTATAGTGTATCTAATCCATCCTTGTGAAACATCTAAAATTAAATCTGTCAACGTACACGCACAAGAGCTCTTTAGGAGTGGCAGTTACAGATTTAACATTCATGCATGTAAAATTGCTATAAAAAGTTAGAGATGAGTTTGAAGCTGCGTTTAAAATATAATCCCTGAAGTTTATCCAGACCTCTACAAAGCAGGAATCTTATCCTGCAGATACTTCTAACTGAAAATGTTGCTTGAGCTTTCAGATTAATGTCCGTGGCAGTAAATGCTTTGTAGTTGATACTCCGTTTGCATTCCTTGACCGTTAAACTGGAACTCACGAAATTTTAATATAGTACTTCAGGATTTTATATCTGTTCTCTGATAGAAGTTTCAAAAATAGTTGAATCAAATCTCCATTTTTATTTTATTTTATTTTTTTTCCCAAAAAAATTCACACTTAGTTTAGGTTCACTGTCAATAGTTCTTATCCTTGTGTTAGCTGGGTTAGCTTCAACTGCCTGATTATACAGCTGGTTTCATTTTTTTTTTATTCTGCTTTGAGCATCTTTCTGTCTCATCCCTCCTGTGTGTGTACAGTGCCTGTAAATGTCATCTCTTCATTTACAAACCCTCTTGAACTGAAAAGGGCAGCCTAGTAACCCCCATCCACGGACTCCTGTTTTCTTCTTGGCACATTTTCCTTACACCTAGAGGTAAAATAGCCATTAATATCCCCTTAGTCACATTTTGACATTTCACCTGTGTTGATTGTATCAGACTCCTCTTCCAGTTATATGCCTGGTCCTTTATTTCTTCCCTTTTTCAGCTGCATAATGCATGAGACAGGAAGTGTCTTCTCAGGGGCTGG